GTGATTGTATGATGAAGGACTTAATATAAGTTTCATTCATTCCATTTAGATCAGCTAAGTAATTACAAATCTTGTGGTGGAATAAGAGCTGAAATCAAGATGAGCATTCACTCAGTCTAACCTGTGAATTCAGGGAAGTAGGTGGATATGTGAGAGTACAAGATCTTCTCCTTGAGGATGTCGGTCTTGTTGAGGAAAAGTATGACAGATGAGCGCTGGAACCAGGGGTAGGTGATGATCGTCTTGAACAGGGCCTTGCTCTCCTCCATGCGGTTCTGAGATGTTTAAAGGGATCAAGCACATGTAAAACTCCAGGAGGATGTAAACTGAATTCATCATTTGCTGTGTCGTTAAATTCTCACCTCATTGTCGCACTCAGCCAGGACCTGATCGTATTCGCTGAGTGCCACCAAGAAAATGATGGAGGTGACGTTCTCAAAGCAGTGGATCCACTTTCTCCGCTCTGATCTTTGACCACCCACATCAACCATCCTGTCATAAAAGCAGCCAAGAAAAGTCACGCCACCTTCGAGGTCGGTGCCATGCCTGTGGCCAGTTCCAGTGCTGCTGCCATTATTTTGGTTCATAGAGTATTTCAAAGTAAAATGGGAGGCAGAGCCTTCAGCTTTCAGGCCCCTCTTCTGTGGAACCAGCTCCCAGTTTGGATTTGGGATACAGACAGCCTCTCTACTTTTAAGATTAGATTTAAAACTTTCCTTTTTGATAAAGCATATAGTTAGGGCTGGATCCTACCTTAGTTATGCTACAATAGGTCTAGGCTGCATTGGCTTCCCATGAAGCACTGAGTTACACAGTGTGTTATTTGTCCTGTCGCCCTCACCTTATCCCCGAACAGTTGCAGCAGATGGCCGCCCCTCCCAGAATCTGATTCTGTTAGAATTTTCTTCCTGTTAAAAGGGAAGTTTTCCTTGCTACTGTCACCAAGTGCTTTTTCAAAGGGAGTTGTTTGATTGTTGGCACTTTCTCAGCATTACTGTAAGAATATAAAGCACCTTGAGGCGACTGCTGTTGTCATTTGATGTTATATAAATTCAACTGGACTGAATTGAACTGAAACTCTGTGCAGTGCAGAAGATGTCAATATGCACCTCACCTGAAAATGACATTCTCCATGTCAAAGGGGTATTCAATGATACCGGTGGTTGGGACTCGGACTCTGAGGATGTCCTGAAGGTCAGGTATGTATGAGGGCTGTGAAATCCGATCCAGATCTGTGAGATAGCTAAAAAGAAAAATATGCAGGGAGAAAAAAAAACACTAAGAAAGGAAACATACAGAAAACACTAGAAAACTTAAAATGTAAACCAAATGCATGTAGCTACATGAGAGTTCACTCACTGGTGGGACTCTCAAGGGAAATGAAGACTTTGCTCCAATGCAGGAGAACAAATACTTTTTGTTTTAGCTTCGATCAAATTTGCATTTCCCAAAATAGTAAAAACAACAAGCCGAAAAAAGCTCTTCTCTTTTTATTGCCATCGTTCGTGGCAGTGACAGAGACTATATTCAGCAAGATTTTTGTTTTTCTATCAGCAGGCACTCATCTATGTAGTCAGAAGGGACTCCTCCTTCTGCATGAATATTATACTCATTTAATAATCCTGTCAATATAATTTGATCTAGAAAAGTACAGATATCTGCGCACACTGTTAAACATCATAAATGCCTAATTCTCACTATTTGGTGGAGTCGGACAGCTGGTACTCCCTGCGCCGATCATAGCACTCCTGTATTCCAGGATCATCCCACAGACTCTTGACAGCCATGGCGAGGTTGCTATCTAAGTCCT